ACTGAAAGATGTGTTACATAATTTATGGATGCCCCCTCAAGACCTCAGGATTGAGCCCTGAAGAATCACTGACTATATATACATTAACAGGAATTCTTCTAGATTCATTTTCATGGGTTTCTGGTGACAAGAACCTGTTGTTCCGCTAGCAAACATTTCTATTAACTTTCATTATGGTCTGCATTAATGAAATGAGACTCAAAAGTGACAGCTGCTGAAAGTGTCCTGTATTTAGCAGTAACAAATATTTTCCATCCTACTTTCAACATCTGTATTTTATTCAGGCTTTCAAAAATACTTTCAGTTCTTTACAGGATTTTGATGTTATTTATGAGAGCACTTAATGAACTTACTTGCATGAAGTATTCATCAGTCTTTATTTTTAGCTTATAGGACACCAATGTAGTGGAAGTCCAATGAGTGAGGTGGAAATGTGGTTACATTTGAACATGGTTTCCACATGTACATTTTACAGGATGATGTTCAGGTTAATTGCTCATCAAGGGAAAGCTCTAGAAAACTATGCAGCAATCCATCTCTGTTATGCACAAAGATAGATGATTGTGGAACCAAATGAAGTTTAAGATATGTTTAGAATGAGTAATACACAACTCAGTGATAGGCCTAATTCTTAGGTGTGTAAAATAGATTTCTGTATATAGGCTAATAGGCATCTGTCAACATTTGCTTTTGAAATGATGCTGAAGCCCTCTGCAAAGGCAGCTTCATTGGAAGTTTTTCTCCAAACTGGCTTATCCAATGTGCTTCATCTCTGTTGCGGAGAACGCATCTGTAGGAGAGTGAGGCTAGCTATCTCTGTGCTAGCTCTATCTTAATCTCTCTAATATCACTGCCAATAAGGGAGCTAATTAGTTCCAATTTTAATGTGGGCAAACTAGGAACAGGACTAAAAACACCAACCAATTCACATGTCACCAGGGGTGCAATCGGGGGAAATGGTGGTAGTACAAGATCTGCTCACAAAATAAGCGCCACGCATGTGAGTCACCAAAATCAGAAGCTGCTCACAGTAGATTGTGCAAATGTTCAAAATATGAGCATGTGTGCTCTCTGGGTTCTTTGATTCATAGAATTGTAGGTTCCAAGGCCAGAAGGGATCACCATGATCATCTAGTCTGGCTTCCTGGGTAACACAAACCATAGAACTTCCCCAAAATAATTCCTGGCGTATGTTTTTTAGAAGAACATCCCCATCTAACTGGATCTTACTTGATCTATTTTTGTTGCTATCTATGCTCATGGGTCACCTGAGAATACAGGAGTGCCCCTCTGAGCATGGAGTTTTATTCCAAAGATGTTCTGTGATTTTTATACCTCTAGGAGAGCATGATATAATTGCTAGTGTTTCCTAGAAGGCAGTGTAACTGGGATCTTGGTCATGCAAGTAGAAAAGAAGGAAGTACAAGACCTACAAAATTATTAGTTACTGAACACCATTTTCATTTCTGGATAAACTGATAGAATATGTGATAAAATGCCCAATGATCATCATGTGTAACAAATTGTCATGTCTTATATTTTCATTACAATAGTATTTTTCTAGAAAGGAGTTTAATATATAATAGCCTCTAAATATGAAACAGATACAATAAAATAATTTCAAAATTAATATAATTGACTCCTATTGACAAGACAATGTAGACTGTATCTACTGGTATATGTTGGTTGAAAGGTGAGGACATATATTATCCTTGACCCTTGTGTGAAACTTCCTATTAGCATCAGTGGAAAGTTCTACAATCTGAGAGTACTATGCCTCTGATCCATAACTAAATGAAGTCAATGGGAGTCTTTTTGTTGACTTCAGCTGGCTTTGATTCAGGTCTTCTAAACCCCAGGGAGTTTTAAACTGTTGATTGGTTAAGAATTTTTTCACATTTTAAAATTCTTTTTTCTTTTAGGAAAACCCTCCTCCTTTTTCTTGCGATATGCATAGCTGTGGGTGCCGCACAAATGCCAGCACAAGGTGAGAAGACTTCCTTATAACAGAGTATTCGAATAATCTGCCACTAGAGGGGGCGGGGAAAGTATATGGCTTCTGGTAGTAATGACCTTAAATTCAGCTGTTCAAAAGTTACTAATCCAAATGTCAGATAGAGTACAATGAGATCATAAGTTCAAATTAATCATTTGGAAAAGATGACCTTTTGAAAATAACTCAGATTTTCTGTCTATGAAATTGCTTACATATTTAACCAAAGTCTTTATAAAAGAGAAGTCTTGTACAGTGAAAAGGCTTTGATTGTGTCGTCATTGTAAGTGGGTGTTCTTGGGGGTGGTGAACTCGGGCTGAGTTACCTTTGCACTTCTTAAGACTTTGCAAGAAAACAAGGGTCTGTAATAAGTGCTTAGTCTAGATGGGCATTATGAGGCGAAAAGTGAAATTTGCATGTTAGCTTATTTTTGTATTCAAATAGATATTGGTTAGGAAATAGGGTGATGTTTTGTTTTGGTCTGCTTGGTGTCCTGGGACTGCCAGATGTGAAGGGTTACATCAGAGACAGCTGAGGAACATGCATCCTAAATTGATGAAAGTTAATGTGTCAGGATGGTAATTTTTGGCTGCCAGTAATAGGTCATGGATAGCACTGAGTGCCTGTCATGTAAATTGCCCTTCACTGTCTAGGCGGCACACAAAATGACTTCACCTTTGAAATAAATGTTCACTCTTGGCTGGTGACTAGACTCACCACAAAGAGAACCAAACCAAACAACTGGAATACGTTTTAAAGAAAAGGACTGATTCCTGATTATAGTTTGCTGGAGTCTGTAGGGATGAATCAGCAGCTGAGTACCCTCCTCCCCATGTACCTCTTTGCACTGTTACCTATCAGTTGCAATATTTTTCTGTTCTCGTTTTCTTCTTTGTCTTGCATTTTTTGTTCCTGTATGTTTCTTCTTTTCCTTTCTTGTTCTTAATTTTTTCCTCCACTACTTGTTTATTTCTCCCCTGCAGCATGCTGTATGCTGCCTGGGATGTTGCTAATTTCCTAGTGCCACTCTCAACTGAGCCAAGTTTTGCAATGGAAGAGAAAGAAAGTTTGGCCTTGCAGACTGAGCCTACAGCCATATATGTACATGGACTGCTCCCATGGCCAGCTACGTTAGGGGCCACCACAGGAACAGGGAGGGAAGGTGGGTGGATTTAAGGAGTCAGCTTCCACTTTTCCTGAAGCAGCAGAAGTGGTAAGAAATACTAGTGATGGGCTTGGCATTATGGAGTGATGGTAGCTGCGCTACAGTGAAGGATGAAGCTAGCTTCCCATTATATATCCAGTTTTCAACCAACCTCTCCAAACTTCTCCAAAAGATACCAAGTTCCCCCAAAATTTCACATGCCACATATCATCCCCAGGAGGAAATTTTCTGGGAAGATTGGCAAAATATCAGAAAAGGAGTTTTAAAGTTACTGGACTAGCTCCTCAGCTATAGCAGAATGGTGCTCCTATCATTAGGAGGTGCAAATGTGCCCTCTGCTGTGCTTGTAAGCAGCCTGATACCCTGAGGGGCTGCTCTATCAGCTGGGGCTTGTTAGGTGAAGGAATGCCCTGTCTATGCTCCTTGTACAGGAGGGGACTTGTGTAGAAGCTACTATTGCAGCTCTACATTTTACCCAGAAATGCCACTATGAAGCGGAAATCCTGCACTGGCTGCCTGAGCAGTTTTAGGGCTGCTTTGCCTGGGAAAGATTATTTCGTGGTTGGGAATTGTCTTGTTCCCTTAACTGTTAATTTTCAGACTTTTCAACCTTTGGGCTGGGTCTTAAATCCATGCAGGGACTGAAGATGGCAGGTACAGAGTGTGCTTCATGCTGAGCAGGTATCTCAGCAGGAGCATGTTACACTCTTGCTTTGGGATCTGCCTATAAAACCCTAACTGGCCTTGGACCTGCATACTTCCCAGCCTGCTTGTCTCTCTGCCACACTGCCACAGCTAAGGTCAGTGGAAGCACTCAAGCTGACACTCTTTGAGCTTCAGGGAAGGAGTTGTTAGTAGGGCGTTTTATCTTGCCATTTATCCACTTGTATAGCCCTCTCAGCCTAGTATTTGAGAACCTTTTGGCTTTGGAACTTGCTTCCCACTTGGTCTGAAATCATCCACGTTTATTAATCCCTAGGGCACACTGAAAAGCTTACCTTTTACAAGGGATTTGGGGAAGGGGATTTTGCTGAGGAGCTATCATTAGTTAGTTTTCACACCTTTACTTTGCTGTAAGTACTATCTAATTCAGTGGTTCTCAAACTTTTGTATTGGTGACCCCTTTCACATAGCAAGCCTCTGAGTGTGACCCCCCCCCCTTATAAATTAAAAACCCATTTTTATATATTTAACACCATTATAAATGCTGGAGGTGAAGCAGAGTTTGGGCTGGAGGCTGACATTTCACGACCCCCCCATGTAATAACTCCGCGACCCCCTGAGGGGTCCCGACCCCCAGTTTGAGAACCCCTGATCTAATTACTGCTGTGTACAGTGGAGGTTGCTGCAGGTTTTATGTTTATATTGGTTTAAAATGATTGCCAAGGATGCCCAGAGCTTAGGACACACTCCTGTTCTTAGACGTCTATGTAGATAAAATACAGCGGCAGAGTGATTTGGAATCATGCGATTTTTCTACCCCAGGCTCATGCTCCTAGGTTAGAGGAATAAGCAGATCAGAGGAGCCATTCTGATGTATGAAGAAGAAAATGTTCCATATATTTCACATCCACATAAGCAAATGAACTTTCAAAAGGTGTTTGTTTGCCCCTCTATAGACATGAACATGAACATAAGAATGGCCATACTGGGTCAGACCAAAGGTCCATCTAGCCCAGTATCCTGTCTTCTGACAGCTGTCAATGCCAGGTGCCCCAGAGGGAATGAACAGAACAGGTATCATCAAGTGATCCATCCCCTGTTGCCCATTCCAGCTTCTGGCAAAGAGCTAGGGACACCATTCTAATAGAATTAATTGTTAAGCGCATACCGCAATGTGAAAAGAACCCCCAAAACTGCATTAAAAGATAGCGAAGGTTGTAACTTAACCCATCAAATGTATGGAAGTTTTCAGAATAACATCATTACTTAGGCACAAGAGAACACATTATTGTTCTTCTACTGAAGCTTATTGTGACCACTTATTCAGAGCCTGATCCTTAATTCTGAAGCCCATATTTTTTTTGGTTTAGGTAACAAACTTAACATTTTTACATTTGAATTTCTTTTATAACATGTTTCATGAAGAAATCTTGCTACAGCTATCATTACACTCTTGTAGACATTACCCCCTTTGTAGCTGATATCCCATTCTATGTAACTCAATGGGAAATCTCCTTAAATGAAAATTCCCCCTAAAGCAGATGTCCTATGCAACACTTCAGTTCTATTTAAGTCCTATATTAAGGGCTTAGTTGGGACCAAAATAATACACTTGGCCTTGCGATGGCAACCTGCACCAGCATGAATTTCGCCTAGCATGTGGTTCTTGGAGATAGTAATAGAAAAGGCTGTAAAAAGTAGTTATGCATACAAAGTCACTAATTTATAAAAGTTTTCTGCTTTAAAACATATGTGGGTTATTTTAAATAAGAAAAGGCATCAGGACATATTGAGATACCCATGTCTGCAAAATTTCAGTTCCTAAAAATCTCTCTTTAAGAAGTCGCTTAAATATATGGTAGATTGCAGAATGACTTGTGAGGAACTGTATTGTGAAAGAGAAAATTGCTTAGATTTCTCAAAATCAAAAGAAAGTCAAAGAAAGAATCAGCAAAAAGTCAGACAGTTCAAGCAGCCTATACTGCTGTCGAACTACATAGCAGATCCAGAGACAGTACTAAGCTGCTCACAGAATTAGCTAGGGAGTTTGCCAAAGATTAAATGCCACCCATTAAGAATATCTTGGTACTTGGTTTCTGATTGATATGTTGAAAGGAGAGGTTATATTGGTAGTTATTCTGCCAAACATCATGTTGCTGGGTGGAGTAATTAATATGCATTGCCTCCTCTCTTGTTCTCACAAGGCAGCTATGCACACATTGCTTGAGAAGCAATGCATTGTGTAAATGTCCTTGTCTGTATGGGGCTAAGCCACAAGTCAGTCTAGGGAACTCTGCATGCACAGCTCACAGGTCTAATTAGTACTCACTACTCTACTTATTCTGCTGGGTCTCAAGCATCAGTCAGAGGAGTGCTCCCCATGTTAACTAAAACCCGACGCAGCATAGGGCGTGCTTAGCAACTGGACTTGCACAGTGATGTTGAGCTGGTCAATCACATTTACCCTCTGCAGAGTTGACCAAATAGCTAGAAGGGTATATTCCTGCATCCAGGAGGACTGAAGTGGGGAGGACACTGCAAGTAGCTCGTCCTCTAGGGTGACCGGACAGCAAATGTGAAAAATCAGGACAGGGGTGGGGGGTAATAGGAGCCTATATAAGAAAAAGACCCAAAAATCGGGACTGTCTCTATAAAATTGGGACATCTGGTCACCCTATCATCCTCACACCTGTCACGAGTGGCAGGGATAGCAAAAAGAGATAAGTTAGGCATAGGTTTTTGACCTAAGGGTGCTGGGGGTGCTGATACACCCCCTGGCTTAAAGTGGTTTCATCATACCCAGGGTTTACAGTTTGGTTCAAAGGCTCTCAGCACCCCCGCTATACAAAATGTGCCAGCCCTCCTGAAGATAGGATGGAAATGCAGAGCCGTAAAACAATCAGGGTGCTGTATCCTGACAATGCTACATAGTGATTGCTGCAGTTTATATGTCACTGTTGCCACACAACACTACAGTTTCAGTCTCTTGTGCTGTCATTATTTGTGGCTGTTATGATTACATATCTGCTGGTGAACTGGGCATCCAGGTCACCTGACTCCCAGTGCGGTGCTTAGAGCTGGTTGAAAATTTTCTGGCAATGTATTTTTCAGTGGAAAATGGCTTTTTGGTGGATGTTTACATTTTGACATGTTAACATCCATTTCTGGCAATTTGTTGAGGTTTTAGATGAAAAACACAAAAAACTTTAAATTTTGCAGTTTTCAGTGGCCAAAAACTGGGGGGGGGGAGGGGGCTGTTGGTTTTTCAGTGGTCTTCACTATGTTGGTGGATGGTGCCACAAAGGGATAGGGAAGAGACAGAGCCAAAGTTTATTCCACCCTTCCCCCCCTCCCCGTCCCCATCCCCCCCCCCCCCGTGCCTCCAATGATGGAAAAACTTAATGAATTTTGCAGGACATTAGGGAAGAAGGAGAAAAGCATCAGGCTGCAAAAGCCATAGCAATTTGTGACAAATATGCTCTTATTTACTGGGTAAAAGAGTAAGTGAAGACAGATGATGTGCAGACATATATAAGGGAAAACAACTGACCTTTAATGGGTATAGAAAAATAATGGCTTTCATAATGGGGAAAGAGTTCAGAGGATTACATGTTCCTAAAACCCATGATGAATTTTGAAAGCTAAAACCAAACTTAATGTATTCAAAAGCGACCAAAAAACCCACACACCTGACCAGAAATCAAATACCCAGTTTGTAGCTGCATGTTAGGACATAGCCATTGTAAGTATGGCAGTATAGTTGGGGTGATTTGTTGCTACTTAATCTTTTGTGTCATTTTTTTTCATTCTGCGCTTGCTTTGTGTTTAGCCCTCTCCTGAGCTGTCACTTGTTCAGAGGAAACTAGTATATTGCGGGTGTAAAAAGCATTTATGCTTTCTTTTTCATGAGGATCTTTGGTTCTTTTCTTTTTTCCATTATTCTTTTATGATGGAATTAGAGAGATTCTTTTTTACATTCTTTGAAACAAGAAAAACTAAATTTATCCTGCTTTTGTGTCTCAGCAAACTAAGAGAATAGCTTCTAAAAACTCTTCGGGCATCGGGTACTTTTCAAAATAAACAGAATGAGGAACTAAGAATTGAGCACAATTTCTCTACAGTTGTAGGCACAGATACTAACACGATTTTCACTCCCATTCATGCTGACTTAAGAAAGTTTGTGTGCTGCAGATTTCAAGTGTCTCAGCAAACAGTCCACCTTTTAGCTCACCTCTACTGTGATGTCCATGTTTACTCTTCTCACTTGTTTAAATGACAACCAGATTCACCAATGACATTTCCACCCATACAGTTTATTGAGAAAAATGCCATGAAATTAAAATGAATATTATTTATTTTAGAAAGCATAAGGATAAAAACACTGCAAGGATACAGTACTCATGTTGATGGATAAGGATATGTAACTTGGTGCTTTGCAGTCACAGGAGGCTTGCCATCTTAGACCTTTCTCCATTTAATATGCAAAATGACTGCTGCTCATTAACTTATTTATTCATAATTTCTTTTAAAGCTCTGTAAACTGAAATCTTTGATTCATTCACCAAATAGTCTTCCCATACTACCTCCCCCCAATGTATCACAACAACCAGCTAGAAGGATAAACTCTAGAGGTGGGAGTGCAGCTCAAATTCCATGGCCCTTCAGTTCTTCACCTGTTAGGTTCCAGTTGTAGTGATGATTTTTGTGATTTGGGCACATGTACTGAACTGTTAAGACCACAAAACTCATTACCACAGGTCACTGAATAGCCAGTGTAATAACTTTTGATCATTGATCTGGGGATGAAAGGGTCTATATCCTATTACAAATCCTCTGAGCTATCTAGTCAGCCATTATGGGCCAGATTCTGCCTGGTTCTTAAATGGGCACACAATAGTGGGATTGGGTCATATAAGGAGCTGTGGTCCCCCTTCCACAGCCCATGCAAGAGCCAGATAGCATTATAATCCCTGCACTCTGGACCTACTCCTTTGGTGGTGCACAGTACCCTAAAGAAGCCAGGGCCAGAGCTTCATTTTTCCCTCCCCATGCCAAACACAACATGCACTGGCCAATGGAGCAGGCTGGCTGCACTGGGGGGAGTATACTGCACCCAGCTAAGGAGTGTAGCAGCAGACAAGTAGCCTCTAAGCTCTGGAAGACATTCTGGCTCTTTGAAACACAATGCCTCCTAGTGTCTCCCTAGGGTATCAAGTATCAGGGGGCAGCCGTGTTAGTCTGTATCTACAAAAACAACAAGGAGTCTGGTGGCACCTCACAGCACTGCTGCCCCTTTCTCTGGGCTAAGTGTAACTGACACAATCAAGCTCTGTGACAATACTGTGCTGATGCATTTTTAAGAGGGAAGCTCTTAGCTAGGTTACTGAGGGCCTTCTTCCTGCACTGTATTTCTAAAGGCGATAGGATTGTATTAAGTCCATCCACATCATCTTACATTTGAACTGCCTGACTTTGGGCAGTTTTGTTATTACTTCAGAGGGAGGTACAGTATTTTTAATGTACAATGATTAAAAAAAATACTTAATAGCCCAGTTTGTTTGAGCCATCTGAGATTTATCCTTCAACTCTGATCCTTCTGACAAAGTCCATACTTACGAGTGTCGTTTTGCAAACACAAACACAATCCATCACAAACATAAGGTATTTATAGAGTTAAAATGTGCCATTTAGGCACAGCCTGGAATTAGGAGGTACCCTGGGGGTAGCACCAAACCTTTTGTAGGGTGCAATTTGTTCCATCTTGTGCAGCCAACCACCTCAGCTGGCCAGTGCATAGAGGGTTCAGGGCCATGGCTGCTGCCTCCTTCGGGGTGTGATTTCCTCAGGGGAGCACCTGCACTCCCCAGAGCATAGGAGCTATAATTTTACCTGGTCTTTGCAAGAGCAATTCAAGTACTTCTTTCCCCTGTGCACACATGTCATGACTAAGCAGAATCTAGCCCAGGGCAAATCATGATTTTTCATTACCAGATGCATTAAATTTGGCAGTTGCATAGCAACCAAGTATTTGCTATTAGTTTATGATGGATTAAAATACAGCCTGGATAAATTACCATATATACACATCTACCTCAATATAACGCAACCCGATATAACACGAATTCGGATATAACGCGGTAAAGCAGTGCTCTGCGGGGGCGGGGCTGCGCACTCCGATGGATCAAAGCAAGTTCGATATAACGCGGTTTCAACTATAACGTGGTAAGATTTTTTGGCTCTTGAAGACAGCATTATATTGAGGTAGAGGTGTACTCATTCATTAGCCCATTCATTTATATGCTGACCCCCCCCAAGATGGATAGGTAAAAATAGCAAAAACTATAAGACCCTTTCATAAGCCGACCCTATATTTCAGGGGTTGGCAAACTTTGACTCCTGGCCCGTTAGG